GCCTGCCCGCAGCCTGCCCCGATGCAGCTATGCAGGCAGGAGCGTTCATCGGCAGATGCAGCTACTGTCTTTACCCCAGAGTAGTGCAGCTCTCCAAATCCAGCCAAGATGTAGAGGGATTTGCTGTGCACAGGCATTATTTATGAACACGTTATAAAGTGCCAGGCCTGTTCAATTGCATTTGACAAGCTGCTTCCCCAAAGTGGTACCTACTACGAGTACTGATGGACCAACCTCCAAAAGTCACTACAGTTCAGCAGTGGGAGGAACCACCTCCCTGTTTTGTTTCTCTTGACAGGCAGTGCCTTGAGAGGCAGCACTGAATCCAGCTACCTGGTTGTTAACCTGGGTTTGGGTGGTTTAAAAACCAATGTTTTAGGTTGATAGTTGAAAAAACAATGTTTTAGACTACATTTGTGCCTGAGTGGCTACCGTCGGGACATTTTCCAGAAGCTCAGCTACGCAATTTATCGATATCATTAGTCACTTGGGCTGTGTGGAAACGTGTGAAAATTTAGTGACTGTGCAATTAATTCTTGTATGTCCTTTTTTTTTGACTTACTGGGAACTAGAAAGACCACCCCAGGGTAGCAGATAGGAAGGAAAAAACGTGAGTCACTGCGCTTTTCGAGCAGTGGTTGCAGAACCTTCTTCTGCCTAATTTATTCCCACGCTTTCACTGGCTTTGGAAAGTGCCTGAAGCTCAGGCATGGTGTGTGGTTCTCAGAAAGGAAGCTGCTGTGCAGCTGAAGCAGGAGAGCGTGGGATCTGACTGACAGGAAAGGAAGAGGTCAGTAATCCACCAAAAAGCACCAATGCAAAAACGAACTGTCTGAATAAATGCACTTAAAGATACTTAAAGATACACTCACGACATTGAAATAAGTAGTGGGGGTAATGAGTGGACCTCACATTCCTGCCTGCCTTATGTTTAAAGTAATGAACCAACTGCAGATGTTGGCTGGTCCCTGGAGGAAGGCTGGGGGGAGGCCCGAAGGAGATGCTGCAGCGGTCGGATGCACATGCAGGCACAGAGGCACGTGGGTTGGGAGGGAGGTCTCTGCCTGCCCCTGTTCCAAGTGGCACCGGGAGCTGTCAGGGGAGAGGCAGAGCCTGGAAGGAGCAGCCAGGTTCTTCATCACCAGGTAGGTGATGCACTATTTAAAGCCAACACATTTTTCTAACCGCAATAACCATCTCTATCCTTTGCTTTGATGTTGCTGAGACTGAAGGTTTTCTCTTCATTGAAAGGCGTTTGCTGTAGCAGCACCCAAGTTGTCAGGGTCGTTTGGAAGGACTTTTGGAAGAGTAAAATGTTTCTGGCAGAAAATACAATGGTTAAAGCTGACAAGAACATTTCCTATGAGCAGAAAAATACATCAGCTGGGCTTGCAGGTTTTTTTTTTTGCTGCGAGTGCAGTTCCTTTTGTGATCACTAAGTGGTGAAGTTCAGCTATGAGGACTTCATCATCACTGCCTGCAAGCTTATGGAAAGTTCTTCTGTTAATCTTCTGTTTCAAAGTTGTAGCAGGGCTAAGGTGAGGGCACCAGCAAAGCCTGGAATGAGTCTTTGTGCAGGTGACTTGCATTCTGCTAGGAGGCTTTGGTGCAAAAGGACGTAGTTTCAGCAAATCTTCACTGTTTTTCAGTTTTGGAAGTTCTGAGAGGCTGACAATCAGAAATTAAATGTTTGCTTGTGAATCTCTATTTCAAGGCTGGCAGTTTTCCCTCTGACTTGGGCCAGAGCCTGTTAAAGTTATTTGCATTGTTTAATAGCTGTAAAATCGTCCGGCAAAGCCCACAAGAAGCGTTTTTCATTGGTTTCGCATTTTGGTCAGGCCAGAATGCCCTTCCAGAAATCTTGCAGGAAAATGCAACTATGAAAATAAGGGAAAGAAAGGAAATTGAGATGTGATACTTCAAAGGAAAAAGACAAGAGTATGAAGCAATCACAGTTTGCTCAGTGACAGGAATGAATTACTGAACCTACTCAAAAGCGCATCAGAAATGTTTCTTTAGAGGAATACTGATACTTCAGCTGTTTCTATTTTCAGATAATTAATTAGCACTTGGGAGGAGAGACGGAACTGTGTATGTATAATTATGTCTGAGAATTTTTTTTGTCACATTACGATTTCAGCCCCTTGGCTTCCCCTAACCTATTTGCATCATTCAAGGTTAATCTGCGCAGCAATTCAACTAAAACACTCTTAATGCAGTCATAGTCATCTGGAGTAGTAAGAATTTGCAAAAATGTAAGCCACCTAATCAGAAAGCAGAAAGATGAAACACGGTTTACCAATACAAGTTTGATTAGCAAATGAAGTCTTGCCAGCTAGTGGCCCCACTACGTGGTGCGTGAGCAACCTGTGGGCTGAGGGTGTTGTTGGTTTCAGCAATGTGATCACAGCTGGCAGAAAGAGAGAAACACAGGCGTAAAGATGACAAAGCAAAAAAGCCAACCATCAATCAGGAAAAGGAGGGGCGACAGAGGAAAATAGTCAGGCTGTAGCTTCAATTGTGCGTTCCCATGCAAGGTGCTCTGACTCGCCGCAGCGATAGCAGTTGACTTCACTGGTCTTGCTGCAGTTGATGGCTACGTGGCCAGTTTCACCACACCTAGAGCATTTCACTTTGGTTCAGGCTTCTTGAACGCGTCCAAACTCTCCACGAGAACAGCACTTCTGCTCGCCCGCATGGTCACAGTCACGAGCTAGATGGCCAGGTTTGCCACAGTTATAGCAGTGCTGTTCTCTCTCCCTCTTCGGTTCCTTGCAGCCCCACACCACAAAAACAATGACTCAAAACAGCTGTGTGAGCTATTTTTATGTCATCTCAGGTGAGGGTAGGGAGGAATGTGTGCGCTTGTGGGGCAGCAGCCATGTCTTTCTGAGGGACAGGGCTGGGGAAGGAGCACAGACCTGTGGCGATGGGGGCAACCACAGAGGAGGAGACGGGAGACCAAGGCTCTGGTTTTTCCCTGAGGCGATGTATGACCTAGGCCCAGGGTTGGGTGCTTGGCTTGCTTTGGTCACCTTATCTGGAAAAAGAGTAGCAGTAGCAGCTCCTGAGTCTCCACTGATTTTACATGTGGGGTGCAGACCCCTAATTGGGTCCTCTGAGTTACATTTTGGGAATGTTTGTACTACTTGTTGCAGCATGAATGTTGACCTGAGCACAGGTCGGGGCCAGGGTGGCTTTTTCTTCTGCCCCTCACAGGCTGATGGGCATTGGGTGCTCAGCTAGCTTAGAAATCTGGGCTTTTATTCAGGCATTTGCTAAAACCTAACCTTATGGAAGAGGCATTCGCAAAAAAACAGACTTGTAACCTTTTTACCTCTGTTGCAGATTGTCTAGCAGCCCAGCTGGGAAATCTTCGGTTTCTGGCTCTGATATTCGTTGTTATATCCTCCAAAATTTTTATTATTCAGCTGAGTGCTGGAGGGCAGGAGGTTTTTACGAGATGCCTCTTACCGTATGTGCAGGGAAGGGGAATGTCCCTAGAGTAAAAGCGTAGTGTATAAAAAAGGGGAAGCCACGCTCAATGGATCAGTGACTTGCTCGTCTCACTGAGGGCACGGCTAAGATGATGGTCTCTTGTCTGCTCCTCTCCAGCATCTGGACCGTTGCGTCAGGTAACACCCTTGTCTGTCTATCTGTCTGTATTGTTACTGTAACGGCGTTAGGGACCTCGGTGGCCCTGCTGGCCTGCTGCTGGGTGCTGCAGTTCGCCCCTTGCATCCCCCGGGGCGAGCCCAGCGGTGATGGGGCGCTTGCGGCACGGCACACGACCACACTGCTCGGCGCGGGGCTTCAGCCACAGCAGTGCTGGTTGCGTTGACAGCATCCTTGCTTTAATTTACCACCAGTGCATTTATAAACTGCAGACAGATGTATGAACTTACTGCAATTTGCAAATCATACACCAGGCAAATGTCCAAACGCTCCTGATGACCTGTATAAATGAAGTTTGACTTCATCTCCTGTTGTGACTGAGGTTTGGGTCAGACTGTGGCACTGATTTGCGTTAGCCAGGACAGAATTATTTGTTGTGATGGACATGGTGCTTGTAGGTGTCTGCTCAGGCCACTTAAAAGCGTGGGTGTGCTGCAATTGGTTTTTTAATTAAAAATTGTCTAGAAAAGCCTGAGTTTGTTCCAAACTAGCTTCTGTGGTCATGGTTTGTATTCTGCCTATGGCACTGATGAGCTCTGAAAAGCAAAATGACTGGCACGGCTTCACCGCTGGCTTCTTGATCTCCTGCGGAGATCTGCCTGGCCATGGCCACAGCCGCAGAGGGGGCAGGACCTGAGGGGACTTTGTCCGGCAGGTTGGACAAGCGTACCTCTCGGCACTGCAGACAGCCTCACTCCTCTTTAAAACCTGCAAAGATATTTCCCTTTCTTGTAAATGGAATTATATGTTTTCTGTGCTCTTACTGTCCCTGATGAGATCTCCCTTCCTGTGCTGATGTCCACAAATAAACTTTAGAAACAGTTGTCTTTAGAGGACTGTGGAGCTGATCTGCCCAACCTGGGAGCACCCACTTTGATTGCCTCTCCCCTTAATAGTTTTTCCACATATGACTGTGAATTGGAAGAGGAGACTGATTTTTTTTTTTTTTTTCTTTTGCCTGGAATTTG